CTTTGACCGGATTCGGCCCGCTGGCCTTGAGCCGCGACGGCGGGGCGGCGGGGCGGCGCGAGGGTGTCGGGGTGTCCGCGCTCCGGGGCGCCCATGGGGTGCTCGCGGGGCCCCGCGCGGGGCCGCGACGCCTCGCGCCCCCAAGACCCAGGCCCGCTGCTCCGCGCCGTGCCCGCCATAAGACCTGCCCCCACGGTGGTTAGCAGCAGCACCAGGGCCCCCGGGACGTTGGCGTAAACATCTTCGCGCAGCAGCAGCACCAGGCTCGTCCCGCACAGCGCCGTCTCTCTCGCACGTGCACGAAACGCCCCAAGAGAGCGACAGAGACAGAGCGAAGAGAAGCCTCTTCGGAACCGGCCGGCAGCACACTCACATTTATCTGCAGGCCGAGATTTGCCCCGCGCGGTCGGCGAGGGGCCGCGGGGCCGGGGGTGTTGTGCAGGTGTTGTGTACGTTACCAGGCCTAACTGCCCGCCACCGCCACGGGCCCCGATGGACTGCCGCGGCTCGGTAAAAATAAAGGTAAATCCCTCGTCCGCCCTCCGCGCCACAGCCTCGGCCACAGCGCACCGCAGCGCACGGCCCTCGGCCTTGGCTCAAGTTGGCAGTGCAGGCCCAAACGCCGAAGCACTCCGCGAGGAATGCCGCTGCTTTGCAGAGCTTTGCAGCGCTTTGCAGTCTCTGAGTGAGGGAGTGAGTCAATCGGTGGAAGTTTTGCAGCGGCGACGACGGCAGGCCGACGGCAAGCAGTGCGGGCCGTGCCACCGGGGCCCCACCCACCCACACTTTCTCCGCCACTGGGAGTAGTTCGGGACACGCTGACGCGCTCACACTGCTGGGTGGATGGGAAATCGGAAAACGGGAAAGCGGGACGGGGGTGCGACGCTGTTCCGTGATCGACGCGCGGCACCACGGCACGCCACGCGCGCGTGCTTATCGCGCACGCGGGGGGTTATTACATGCCGAGCCGAGCGATGCCGGGGAATCGCTCCGTCTCCCTCGCACCCTCCGGGACGCCGCGCGAGTGCGACAGAGAGGCAGAGCGACGAAACGACTCCCCGGAATAGGTCTGCAGGTGCGCCTCGCGGCCAGGTGTGTGTGTGCGTGGAGTGAGAGAGAAAGAGACGGGGTGGGGGTGATGCCCCGGCGAGGGTCCAAGAGACGCTTCATTTCCTTCCAATTCTCGAATCGGCGGCCCTTCCGGCCCTTCCGGCACCCCGAGGCACGCCGGTACACCCTCGTCACGGGGTGGGCGGTGACGTCAAGTGCAGGCACGGCCCGGCACGGCCCGCGTCTGTTTGGAGAGCGCCGACCTTCGCCTCGCGTGCTTTCCTAGACTCAGTCCGTCTACTTCATCACCGGCAGCTAGCGGCAGCGCGCCGAGTGCAGACCGGCGCGTGGGCGGGGAGGGGGAGGGGGAAGCCCGAGAGGGAAGCACGGCCGGGGGAAGTCCGGAAGCACACAGGGCGGTCGCTGAGAGCTGGAGCCTGCAAGCACACACACTGCTCGGGACTGACCAATGAACCGGTGAACCGCACGCGGCGCGTGGTGGCCACACATCTCCGAGCTCGTCTCCGAGGCCTCCAGGCTGCTGCACTGCTGCAATCCTTTCCACACCGGAAGCCCCGGAAACAACAGGACAGTGGAGGCGGTCGAGCGGGCAAGCAGGGCAGAGCGGCAGAGCCACCGGGGAGGAGGGGAGGGGTAGGGGAAGGGAAGTCGACGACCGAGAGAACCAATTACGAACACTACCGGCGCGGGAGTGGTCCGGCCGGCCGGAGCCGCGTCGCCTCAAATTAACGGACGGCAAGTGTACAAATCTGATCCATTATGCATTCAGGGCTGGCTGCGCCGCAGCGCCGCTGCGCCGGGCGGACAGACGGACGCGACGCCGGCACACAGTGCAGTTGCAGTGCCCGCGCCGCGGTGCAGCACTTGACGTGCCCGATTCCGCCACCAAGGCCTGCGCGCGTCCCTCACGCCCTCGACGGCGTCCTTCGTGACGTCCTCCGCGCGGCCTTATCGAACACCACCGACTCCGTCGCTCTGTCTCTCTCGCACTCACGGGCCGCCCGGCAGGGGTGCGAGAGAGACAGAGCCACACAGCGCTGACCCCGGCGTCCGACGACGCCCAGCCAAGAACAAGGGCCGGGCCGATTTCGGCGAGGCTCCGCGATAAACGAGGACCCCGTCAAGGTGACGGCGGAAGGCGTCTTTGCCTTATCTATTACGTCAACGAGGCGGACTTGGACTTTTAAACTTCCGGCGGTGACTGGCCGCTGGACCGCGCGCAAGGTGGCGTCACTCGCGGGGCAAATGGCGAAACGCGGAGCGCCAAACGGCGGAGATAGCGACGTGACGCGGGCATCTTGCATCGCGGCGTGGCGAGCACCGTGTCGCGCGGACTGTCGCGAGAGGAGTGTGGAGGCCCGTGAAGAAAGGGCCGCAATGGATCCAGCCAGCAGAGTGAGAACGACGCCAAGACCGTGCTCCTCGGTGCTCCTGCTGCACTGCTGCACACTGCTGCACACTGCAGGCCGCGGGACGCCACCGCGCTGCGCCACAGCGGCCACAGCGGCCGCAGCCGATACGTTATCGCAGTGGGTCGAGAGGCCACCACCGGAGGCCACTACCGGGCAGCGCGGCCGCACGGCAAAAGACTGAACGGCCGCGCGGCGACGCCAAGCGCCGAGATGCCAGCAGCATAGCATTCGCCACTCTCGCACTCGAGGGGCGTCCCGTAGAGGCGCGAGGGAGACAGCTACTATAAGGAGTGACTGTCTGCAGCTCAGAGGTCCCCGACGACGACGGGCACCCCTAGGCCGACGTGACGGCAATCCCAATGCAGCCACACGGCGGCGCCGAAAACACGCCAATGCCGTGCCGAATGCAACGAGAGCGCGCGCCGACACTGGATGCTCAGGGCGTAATATATATGAAAACGGCGGGAGTGAGTACATATCCCCAGAGGGGGAAACAGAACATAAGGGGAAGCGCCCATTATTTCGCGACTTATTTCTCCGACAAAAAGACAAGTCCGCTCCCCTCACGCACCGCGGCGAGGGGCGGCGGCCGTGGGCGGCGGGGCCGCCTGCCTTTCAATATGGGCCCCGGCGCCCCGCCCCGCCGCCCCGCCACGCCACGCCCCGCCCGCCCCGCCCCGCCCGCTCCGCCCCGCCCGCCACGCCCGGAGCAGCGCTGGGCCACCCTCCCCTTCCGGGGCCACGCTTGGGCTGCGTCCCTCCGTCCACCCGGCCAAGCCAGCCTCCAATCGCCGCGCTGCGCGGCCAGCGCCCTGCCAAGAAAGGCAAGGCGCCCCCGCTACCCCGCGCCACCCACGCCTCGCGCCAGCCGCCCCCAAGGGACCCCGCCGCACCCCACCGCCACCGCGACGCACAGCCTCGCAGCCACAACACACGCGGTGCACGCGGTGCCCACCGAGAAACAACACAAGGTAGTTATCTCGACTGTCTCCGTCCCGGTCGTTATCTCTCTGGATGTGACGACGCGGCACGCGGCAGGAGCAGCGCGGCTTAGGCCGCAGCTTTGCGGTACAGTGCGACTCGCAGTGAATCATCCAGCGGGGGTGCAGGCAGAGACGTCACGCCGGCCCCACCCCCGGCTCCTTGGTCTGTCACGAGTGCGAGAGAGATGTATCAGACGAAACCGCCTGTTCGGAATCAGCCAGCGGCCCCGCTCCCCTACCGAATAACGATACGGCATGATGCTCCCGGTGGACGACAAGTCGGCATATTGGGAAGGTAAAAGTCGTCCCGCGCCCTACAGCCTGGCTGCGTGGCTGCGTGCTCGCTCGGGCCGAGCAGGGCGAGCTGCTGCCGCCGTCGCCGCTCATGTCGTGGGAACGGCGATGGCAGCGGTGCACTGCGGTGCACTGCGGTGCACGCCGCTTCGTGGGGGTTGGATGACAAAGCGCTCGCAACAAAACGCTCCTTTCGACTTGACGTAACGTTCGAGTCGAGGCAGCCGGCACGGCCTGCACGGCCTGCACGCAGGCAACGGCCGCCGAAACCCCCAGCACGGGGACCTCGTCCACCTGACGACCAGCTCCGCCAAGCTCCGCCACTCATTGGCGCGGTAATGAATGGGAGGGGTGGCGCGCTAACGAGATGAAGGGGTGCATCACCTCCACGGGGACGAGACGGCCATGTCAACGACCTCCGCCGCCGTCCGTTACCGAGCAGGTTGGCATTCGGCGACACTCTCTCAGTTTATGGCGACGTCCCTCTCCCTCCCCCAGGACCGCGGACGCCGCGAACCGCGAGGGGAGGCCAGGCTTGTGCCGCGAACGGCGCTCGTCGCTCTGTCTCTCTCGCGCGGTCGCTGGGCGTCCCGTGGGCGCGACAGAGACACCGTGGTGTTCGAAATCGGACTGTCCTGTGAGGCATCCCGGGCCGGGAACGAAGCCCCAGTCCCGCGTGCGCCGAATCGCCGAGCCGCTGATTCATCCAGTTCCGAGTGGAGTGGTTCCGAGGGCCGGCCGCCGTGTCTGGACGGGGTGGCGCAGGGTGGCGGGGCGCAAGTCGCTCGCTGCGGGACTGCGGGATGGAAATGCAGGGGGTGGGGGGGGGGGAGACAATGCCGGCAGCCGGCCGGGTACGCAGGAAGCTACAAGTGTCGCCCTTGCAAGGGCGGGGGGGGGGGGCCTGTGCCGCGCCGCCAACCGTTCACCCGTTCACTGCCATTCACCTGGCCATTGGCCATTGTTGCGACGCATCGCCACGGAGACAGTTCGGCCACAGGCAACTCGATTTCCGAACACCCCTCGCGATGGCAACCACTGTAAGTGTCGCACCTCTATCATCGAGTCACAATCCTAGTCGCGAAGGGCACTTGACCCACTGACAACAGCAGAGGCAAGCTGAAGTAGCAGCAGAAGGCGCGCGCAGCAGACGACGCACAGCAGACGACACTTCGCTCTCGGACTCCAAACCGGCGCTGCCGACGCGCGGGAAGACGGCACCGACGATGACGCTGCTCACCTGTCGGTCCACCGGCGCCTCTGCCACCCCGACCTCGGAGTAGGGAGACGCGCAGATCGCGGTGCGGGGGGCGTGTATCCTTTATTCGCCGACAAACACTGTGTCGCTCAATGACGACTCGGCACCACAACACTCCAGTCACTTCGCTGTCACAAGGCACAGTCGTCACATTGCGGTCGTGGCGCGTCCGAACCGGCATAAGTCTGACTGAACGACGCGACACGCAGACGACGCGAGGGGCGGCACAGCGTGTGCACCGCGCAGCCGCGCGACGAACACTGAGCCGAGCGCCGAGCCAGCCAATGGCGGAGCGAAGGGAAGGGAAGGGGCAGCCGGCCGCCCCGGCACGCTACGCCCCGCCACGCCACGCCGGCGAGCGGAGAGCGGCCGAGGCGGGCGGCAGACAGCACCACCGCGCGGCGCGCTGCCATGCCGCGGCCGCCGGAGCTCGCAATCAACACAACGGGGTGGCCGCGGCCGCGGCACCGCGCGGCACCAACGGACACCAGAACCGCGACCTCGGTGGAGGGGATGCCGACGCGGGGAGACTTGGCGGCAGGGAGCTGCGAGGAGCGCACTTGCGAAATGGTCGAACGCTGGTCCAGCCCGTCGTCCAGCCGAGGCCGGCGTGGTCCGGTCTGACTGCGGGGTGAGGGGGTTGAAACTGTTGAAAGGCACCCCGCTTTGGATTAGGGATAGCCGGGGTAAGGCGGTCCCAAGGTGATCTCCAAAATCATCGCGTACCTTCCAGTGTGCGCTCTTCCTCACACTACGTGCTCTACTCCAGCTTCCGGTCCGCCTGAGCGAGGCACGCGTCGCGAGCCACCACTGCACTGCACCCTCGCGTTGCACCACCGCGACGGGGGAGTGGGGAGGGGGTGCGCGACGCACAGCGACGCACAGCGACGCACGCGTCGGCGCGGCGTGCGGATCGGGGAGGGAAGGGGAGGGAGGGACGGAGGGTGCTCGCCGGCGTGACTTCGCCGACGTGCCACATGGCGTGCGTGCATGGCGTCGAGACGGAGACGGCGGGCAATCAGCTTCCGACAGCGCGACGCGGAGCCGCGGACCGGCGTCCACCGCACCAGCAGCCTGCCCTGGCTGGCCATGACCTAGGCGAGGGAGGACACGCATATCGCCAGCGATTCGCCGCCCCGATGGACGGGACGGAACCAAAGGGCGACCCCTAAACTGGAGCAGTGCGACGCACCCACGCTGCTCCCCTCAGGCCACTGCACTCGGGGGTAGGGGACCTCAAATGGGGATGGGGTAGGAGATAACATATAAACCATCGCAAATTTCGTAAACAATGCCGAATTCCACCAGGCGCTGCCTTTGCCACGGAGCTGCGCGTCCCGGCGGCGGCGGCGGCGGCCCGGCCCACGGCAGGTGGCCGAGGGAACTCCGATCCTTTTGAAGTGCCGCGGCGTTTGGCCGTGCGGCCGCGCGCTGCTCAAAGGACCGCATGTTTACGCAGCGCGGCAGTGACCACACTCTGCACACCGCGTCGTCCTTCCTCTCTCGCACTCGTGGGGCGTGCCGCTGTGGCGCGAGAGAGACAGGACGAGACAGCGTCCGGAATCACGTCTTCAGAGTCTCGCACCGGAATGGCGCGCCAACGACGCGCCGACAGCCGTGTGGCGGTTTACGCCGTTTACGCCCTCTGAACACTTCCACGGTTTACCGCCGCGTTTTGACAAGGAGCAGACGATGATGCAGCCTCGGACAGCGGCAAAGAAAGGCCAGTGCTGCCAGTGCCGAATGGTGCCGAATCGCAAGGGGATTTCCGGGAGACCCACCCTCCCTCCTGGAGATGATTCGCCGCAACGCGTTACTCTGCGATGCGATTGGGATGCGAGGCTCCCGAAGGCCGGGAGCCGCGCCTCCCCAACTCCCCCACTGCTGTTTTTTGTCAGCTTTCCCCAACCCCTCTTCAACGACGAGCAAGTTAGTGCTCCTTGTTGGCGAAGGTATCGCGTAAATTTGCCCTTCCTCCCCCTCACTGTCCCTGCTTCCTCAAGGGCTCCGCCAACGGGCCCCGCCCCGCCCCGCCCCATTAGTCGAAATGTCCCTCCGCGTCGCTCATTTGCATCCGCAGTGGCATTAGGGCGATGAAGGTCGCGTTCTGATTGAAACCCCAGCGACGCCGCGGCGCCAGTGGGCCAGCAGACGAGCGAGGCAGATGACGTCACTTCTTGAGCTCCAGTGGCCTCAAATGTAACTATCAAAGATACGAACAAAGGGCCAAAGGAACCGATGGACAAATACATTGAGAACACTGAATGGGTTTAAGGGAGTGCATGTCAAGTGTCGCGGGCGGGGCGAGCGCGGCCGGCAGATAGGGCTCGCGGTGATAAGGCGAGGCTGAGACGTCCGGGGAAAAGGGAGGGGACCGGGGGAGGGGGAGGGGCGCTGGAGCGAAGGGCCGCCACCGCCAGCAGAGAGGCTGGGCCTGGGCCCTGGGCCTGGGCCCTGGGCCTTGGACCCCTACATGGCCGCTGCCAACGTCTCGCTCGCGTGCCTGGCCGGCAGCACCGCTACGCGCTACGCCCCCTCCCCGTGGCTGACAGAGACTAAGTTACGAAGACGAAGCGCAGTGCACTGCGTGCGGCATCTCTCGCGCCACCACCGCGAGGACTCTCCCGACACGGCGCGTGCTGTGCACTGGCTGTGTGGCCGCGGGCGCGAGAAGCAGGCCGACGGCCTCTAGAAGGCACCCTGTATGCCGTGGACACCAGAAGGGCGCATCGGGGCCACTCACCTGCCGAGGACGTGCTGCTGTGCTGCTGCAGCCTCCGGTCCGCGCGTCCGCTCTCGCACGCCGCGACGCCCGTCAGCCTCGTCAGCGCGACGACAGGAGGCTTTGGAGACACGACTCCGGATTTGTGGGGATCGCGCCGTGTCAACACAAGCGCCCCGCCCTCTCGGCAGCCGCCGTGCTCGCAAAGAAACGCACCTCGATGGCCACGGCCCGCCTAGCCCGGCCGGACGTTGGAGGACCGCGACACCGCCACGTCGCGGGGTTGCTGCGGCGCTGCGGCAGAGGTCGCCCTGTCGCCCACGCACCGCGTAGCACCGCGTCGCACCGCGTCACCGTCGCACGCACCCTTCCCGAACTGGACTGAGGGCGGCAGGGCGGCGGGCGGCACCACGGCGGCACGGAGGCCCGGCCGGGAACGCTCCCGAGGGTTGCCGAGGGTTGCCCGTGGGTGGGTGGGGTATTGACGCGGTCCTCCCCTCCGCCTGGGCGCTGCTATGCGCCGCCCGGCGCCACCCCCTAAGGCGTCTATACCACGTTTTGCCTAACCGTTCGCCGCCCCCAGGAGCCGCCACCCCCTTAGGCTGTCCACAGAACGATTCGCCTACCTCTCTCCCACCCCTGGTCCACGGCGGCACGCGGTCCACCCTCCGGCTGAGCGGCAAGTGCTGGAGGGTGTTGCTTTCCGCGCCCGAAGCGGCGGCCCATGCCCTCTCCAGACACCTCCTTTGATGCTCGACAATGATTATTTATATTAAAAGGTAATAATTATTCCTCATTGAGGGGCAGCCCATTAATTTTTCCACATTATAATTTTGTGGTGCAATCAGCCGGACCAATCTCATCTCGTTTAACCACCAAGGAATTTGAACATCTTCCCTCCGCACCGCAGAAATCCGAAAAAGCCGGAACAGCAGCGTGTCTCCGACAGAGCTGATGCGGGTAGGGAAGTGAGACCCTCCTACAGTCTCTCTCTACCGGGGTATCGCCGCTCGGGCTGCCCACCAGCGCATGCCGACCAACAGCCGCCGCGATTGGCTGACGCTGCCGAGAAGCCTCCCGGCCGGCCAATAGCAGCGCGCCTCACAACGTGCCTCGGCCGGTTTGTCGGCAGAGCGTGTTTGGGTCTTCCCTCCCATGCAACTTTTACGTCCAAAACATAATTATAGTTTCAACAAAATAATTATTAAGTGGTTCTGTCAGCGCACGGCAGGATGTAATTTTAAGGAGTTGCGCTCAGAAAAGCGCATTTTCTTTTCAAGAAAAGCGTGCAGGTCCCTCGCCAAAAAACTCTCGAAACTGCTTTTGGGGTTTGGCTAACCTGTGTCTCGATCTCGCTTTCGTTACGGATCCCTCCTCCCAGCTTTGCTCCGAGCTCATCATTTCCACCGGCTCAGTTCGGTTTTGTCTGTCATGTTCGTGACTTTTGACTGAGCCTCAACGTGATTTTTTAGTTTCTTGACGAAGACTGACATCTTTATCCGTACTGTTACCCTGTAATAACTGTGATAGTGCGTGTGCGAGTGCTTTTAGTGTGCGGGCCAAGCCATCCTAACCATGGCGGGCAGTTTTGATTTCTTTGTGACAAACATTGAAATGGATGGTAATTTCCTGAAATTGTGGGGCCACAAGGACAAGAATAGTGCCCAGAATGTGGAGAGGATCATTCAACAGAAGTTTCAAGACTTCGAGAAGGGGATCGGCGTGCCGGACCCCCACGCCCTTGTCCCCGACCTACTGTGTTGCGCCCGCTACAATGATGGTGGCTACTACCGAGCCCGCATCACGCATGTGGACTGGAGCGCCGGCATGGTGCTCTGCTTTTTCATTGACTACGGCAACAGGGAGCGCGTCGCCATTTGCGACCTGAGGACCGTTGATCCTTATGACGCGCTGCTCAAGCTGGCTCCTCAGGCTTCATGTTACCTCCTCTCGAGGGTGGTGGGCTCCTGGGACCCACCCGCCCTCAACTTCATCAAATCTGCCATCATGTACAGTGAACTGAAAGGTGTCCAGGTGCAGTCCGTCGGCCAGATCAACCTGTTGAATCTGTACGTGGAAGGTGGCCAGGATTTCGGGGAGTACCTGATGCGGTTAGGGCTGGCGTCCCTAGTGCCTGCCGAGAACTTTGAGGTGATGGTGTGGCGGTCGCTGGCAGTGGCAGTGCCTCAGGGCCTCGGCTGTCTTGGCCTCGGCGCCCTCCCTACCGCTACCGCGCCTGCCTACCCTTTTCCGTTGGGCCCGGTGGGTCCGGTGCTGCAGAGGCCTGTGTTACCTTTGCCATCAGTCATCCCTCCCCAGCCACCTGCCGTGTCGTCCATTCCGCATCGTCTCCCTGCTGTGGACATGAAGGAAAGCACAGCAAGCCGTTTCCCGACGTATCCGACGCTCCAACCGAACACTGAACACACAGCGTTTGTGTCTTATTGTGACAAGAGCTCGTCAACAATCTACTGCCAATTATCGAAAGACCAGCCACAACTGGAGGCCCTTTCAGCAGCATTGAATGACCCTGCTGTCACCAAATTGGTTCAATTAACCCCTCCATATATCCCTGGGCGGATTTGTGTTGCGAAGTACACTGAAGATGATCAACTTTATCGGGGAGTCATTACTGGTGTTACAGACAAAGTCAATGTCTACTTTGTGGACTATGGCAACAGTGACACTGTTCCGCCATCTGATGTGTTCGAAATACCCTCAGACTATTCCCATCATCAGGTATAGAGCTTTCCATAGACCTTTTCACAATGTTGCTGTTTTATCTGGTTTAACTGAGTTTAAATTTTGTGTTCAGGTGATGGCGTTGCCTTTTGCACTTGCTAGCTGGAACCAAGCTGATGTCTCTGATGAGATGTTTGAAATTCTCTCTGATCTTATTAATGAGCATAATGTTGTTCTTAAAGTCGCTGCCTCTCAGGATTTAAGTACAAAGCAGCTCTGTGACCTCTTCATTGATGAAACTAATGTTACTCAGCTTGTGAATACAGAGGTAAGTGAAATCCCTTTCTTCATTGCCAGTTACTTAGTTGATATGTTAAACCTGAGTAAATGTCCTCGGGTTGTTTTGTTTCCTATCAAGGCCCTTATCCAATTGTTTTCTTTTTCAGCTTTTAAGAAGGAAACCAAAGTTGACTTTCCGGAACATACATTTTCCAACTCCTGGTGGGAAAGTTGAAGTAGTTGTGGCATATGTGAAATCCTTGAACAACTTTTATGTACAACTTGCTGCACATCAGAAGGATCTTGAAGATAAAATGGCAGAGGTGGACAGCTACTGTAATGGTCCTGCAGCTCTTATGAAAGCCGAAGACATTGTACCAGGCGCACCCTGTTGTGCGTTGTTCCCCGCTGATGGGCAGTGGTACCGAGCGATGATACTCAATGCTAGCATTGAGGATCTAACTGTAAGTAATCTATCATATTAATTCCCTGCTTTGTCTTGTTTTCTTTTTTTCAAAGTGTACCATTTTCAACTTTGTGAAGGTCATGTATGTGGACTATGGCAATGAGGAGAAGGTGACAATAGCTGATTTACGGGCAGCAAATGAGTCAATTGTGAATCCTCTCCGTGCTCAAGCAATACCTTGTCGGCTGACTGGCTTTGATGTCAAAGCTGATCATCAGTTAGTTCAAAGGTACTCAACAATCACTACTGTAACCATCTGTTACAGATTTTGTTACTTAGCTCTCAGTTCACAAAATTAATGACTTTCTGTTTAATTTCTAGGTTTGAAGAACTCGTGCTTGAGAAAACCTTCACTTTACATGTACTTGATCTGAATGAGGATGTCCCATGTCTTTGGGTGAAGCTCTTGGATGAAAATGGCACTGATATAACTACTTCACTGAAGGCCCCAATGCACCAAATCAATGGGCATGCTATGTAAGTGTCTCCTGCGCCAAAGAGCAGAAATACTAATGTTATTTACTCATACACTGTTATTCTGTTAACTTACCTTTTCACCTTCATTTTCTCTATTTGCAGTGCCCCTCCAGCGTCTGTTAAGGTAGCAATATCAGGGCCAGGAGAAAGAGAGGTTGTTCTGTCAAAAGAGAGCTATCGTTCTAGGGAAACGACTGCCAAGCCTGTTAATCACTATCAAGATCGAGACAGAACTAGGAACGCTAGGCCTATTGATCAAGACCTCAGCACACAATGCCCTAAGAAGGACCCAGCGGCTTGGGGGATTGGGGAGAAACGTAGGGAGAAACATAGCGCAATCGGCCATTGTGACAGAGATAATGGAGCTTATGAAACTGAATCTCAGGTACAGGTTTTCTACAAACCCATTTCGTTCAGGAATTTATTTACTCAGACTTGTATCTTTAATTACTGTTTTTCCAGGCCTCAAGGAAGTGGAATGATGCTCCTCAGCATCCCTCCATCAAGTATTCAACCATTGCTACTGGTGATATCAAGCCTGTTGTCATTGTTTTCTCCAATGGTCCTACTGATTTTAATGTCCAGCTTCGTCCAACTGATTCCAAGTTTGAAATGTTGTCAGAACAAATTGAAAAGTTGTTTTCTACTGGTAAGACTTCATCTCTTCACTGACTCTTTGTTTTTGTTCAGTATTCTCAAAATATTATTTTATAGGAGGCAGTACATTGGGCCGCTCGCTTGTAGTTGTTGGCACAGCATGTGTGGCCAGGTATAAAGAGGATGAGAGCTTTTATAGGGCTGAAATTAAGGAAGTCCGCAAGGATGGTGCCCTTGTTCACTTTGTTGACTATGGGAACAATGAAGTGGTATGTACATTTAATGATCTTAAAGCTGTACAATTTGATAGTATTTCTAATCTTGAGTGTGTGCTCTGTTGCAGGTAAACTTTGAAGATCTGAAGGAAATTCCTGATGAATTCCTTGCCCTCCCAGCTCAAGCATTTCATTGTAGTTTGAAAGGTGTTTCTGAGTGCACGCAAGACAGCTTAATCAAAAAGTTCAATGATTTGTTAGACTATCAGAGCCTTGAGGCTGAAATTCTTGACTTCAGAGACCATCTTTATCATGTTATCTTGAGAGTAAGTATGCCTATGCACAATTCTTGTGAGTTAATCCTCTCTTTCAGACTATTTAATTTTTTACAAAATTTGTTACAGGACTCAAATGATTCCCTAACAATCAATGAGCAATATGGCGCAGCACTGACTGATTTGCTCTCACCCAGCAGTATTGTCTTTAGTCTTCCGCAGCTGAGCATTTCAGAAGGTGATTCGGCCGATGTCACTGTAAGTTCATAACACCTCACCCTTTGATTTACTTCATTGGTGTTTTTAAACTTCTTCTGATTTTGCTGTCATATTTTTAGGTCACATGGTTCAAATCGCCTGACAACTTTTACATCATGCAAAAATCTTTTGAAGCTGAATTTAAGAAGATGATGACAGCACTGCAGGAGGACTATAAGAGTAAAGAGCCTGTGGCTACTCCATCTATTGGTCATGTTGTTGTTGCCCGTTACACGGATGGTGCATTTTACAGAGCTGAAATTGTAGTCAAGAAAGATTCCAAGTTTGGTAAGTGTTTCACTTTAACCTGTATTGTTAATTAACAGCATAATTTAGCAGAAGCCTAGTATCATCAGCTGGAGTCTGTGTTAATGACAACATTAAAAGAGTTTTAATACTCTCCAGTTATAAGATCTGTGTTGTCTTTACAGGAGTACAGTTCCTGGATTATGGCAACAGGTGCCTAGTGGCTCCATCCTGTATTTTCGGTCTTGAGCTGCAGCATGCAGCTTTACCACCCCTTGCCATTCAATGCCAGCTCTTTGGGGTGAAGCCGATTGGAAACTCTTGGTCAAATTCTTCAGATATTCTCAATTTGTTTCATGGAAATTTGAAGTGCTCCTTCAAGGAGCGTTCCTCAAAAGGCTTCATAGTCAGTTGTAATAGCAATGGTCAGGATGTGGCAGACCAGTTAATTGTTGACAAACTAGCCAAATCTTCCCTTCAAGAGGTAAGTTTCTAGTAATAATGTTTTTATATCGTGAACTTGTACTTCTTTAAGAAACTCTTCAATCTTGGAGTTTTTGAGTTAATCTGAGTTATGTAATCTGAAAAAATTCATCTAATTTTCAGGACCATCAGACAATTCCTCACATCAAAGGAAAGAAGCGTGAGATGCCTGTAGGCTCTTCTCATCAGGCTATTTTTGCCTACCTTGAAGAGCCTGACAAATTCTTTGTTCATCTGGAGTCTGAATCTTCAGACCTTGAAAGTTTGCAGTCTGAACTTCAGGCAGCTGCTGAAATGATGCCACCACTAGAGGGCCCTGCAATCCCTGGAAGTTTGATTATGGCGATCTTTGAAGATGCCTGGTACAGAGGCCTTGTCACTGCAACCACCAAAGTTTTCTTCCTCGATTATGGAAACACAGAGGACTATCCATCAGATTCAGCAAGTGTCAGGAAATTGCCTAAGCATTTGGAGAGCTGGCCAGGATTTGCTATTCAATGTCGGTTTGACAGGCCGGCATCAAAGGTGTGGTCCCAAAATGCTTCCGAGGAATTGGTGAGGATCTTTGATCAGGAAGAGAAGCTGCAATTGAAGATTATCTCGAAGTCTTTGGATGAAGACTCGTTTGTTGTTAATCTTGATGGTATATCTGAGGGACTGCATGACCTTTGGAGTGATACAGTTGGTGTAGATGACACCAATCAAGATTCGGTGCCAATTCCAGTCCATGTTGAGAAGCGTGAGATGCCTGTAGGCTCTTCTCATCAGGCTATTTTTGCCTACCTTGAAGAGCCTGACAAATTCTTTGTTCATCTGGAGTCTGAATCTTCAGACCTTGAAAGTTTGCAGTCTGAACTTCAGGCAGCTGCTGAAATGATGCCACCACTAGAGGGCCCTGCAATCCCTGGAAGTTTGATTATGGCAATCTTTGAAGATGCCTGGTACAGAGGCCTTGTCACTGCAACCAACAAAGTTTTCTTCCTCGATTATGGAAACACAGAGGACTATCCATCAGATTCAGCAAGTGTCAGGAAATTGCCTAAGCATTTGGAGAGCTGGCCAGGATTTGCTATTCAATGTCGGTTTGACAGGCCGGCATCAAAGGTGTGGTCCCAAAATGCTTCCGAGGAATTGGTGAGGATCTTTGATCAGGAAGAGAAGCTGCAATTGAAGATTATCTCGAAGTCTTTGGATGAAGACTCGTTTGTTGTTAATCTTGATGGTATATCTGAGGGACTGCATGACCTTTGGAGTGATACAGTTGGTGTAGATGACACCAATCAAGATTCGGTGCCAATTCCAGTCCATGTTGAGAAGCGTGAGATGCCTGTAGGCTCTTCTCATCAGGCTATTTTTGCCTACCTTGAAGAGCCTGACAAATTCTTTGTTCATCTGGAGTCTGAATCTTCAGACCTTGAAAGTTTGCAGTCTGAACTTCAGGCAGCTGCTGAAATGATGCCACCACTAGAGGGCCCTGCAATCCCTGGAAGTTTGATTATGGCAATCTTTGAAGATGCCTGGTACAGAGGCCTTGTCACTGCAACCAACAAAGTTTTCTTCCTCGATTATGGAAACACAGAGGACTATCCATCAGATTCAGCAAGTGTCAGGAAATTGCCTAAGCATTTGGAGAGCTGGCCAGGATTTGCTATTCAATGTCGGTTTGACAGGCCGGCATCAAAGGTGTGGTCCCAAAATGCTTCCGAGGAATTGGTGAGGATCTTTGATCAGGAGGAGAAGCTGCAATTGAAGATTATCTCGAAGTCTTTAGATGAAGACGCATTGGTTATTTATCTTGATGGCATATCGGAGAGGCTGCCTGACCTGTGGAGTGATGCTGTTAGTGCAAATGACACCATTGAAGACTCAGTCCCAGTTCCTATTCATATGAAGAAGCGTGAGATGGCAGTTGGATCATCACATGAGGCCACTTTTGCCTTTTTCGATGAACCGGACGTATTTTATGTGAACCTTCAGTCCGAAGCTTCCGATCTCGAAAACGTGCAGAAACAGCTGCAATTGGCTTCTGGAAACATGCCACCTCTTGAGGGACCAGCAACTCCTGGAAGTTTGATAATGGCGATCTTTGAAGATGCTTGGTACAGAGCTCTTGTCACTGCAACCAACAAAGTTTTCTTCCTCGATTATGGAAACACAGAGGACTATCCATCAGATTCAGCAAGTGTCAGGAATCTGCCTAAGCATTTGGAGATCTTTCCTGGATTTGCTATTCGATGTCGGTTTGACAGGCCAGCGTCAAAGGCGTGGTCCCCAAATGCTTCCGAGGCATTGGTGAGGATCTTCGATCAGAAGGAGAAGCTGCAATTGACGATAATCTCAAAGTCTTTAGATGAAGACTCGTTTGTTGTTAATCTTGATGGTATATCTGAGAAACTGCCTCTCCTGTGGAGTGACATCCCAGTGGATGTTGATGTCATTGCCAAGGAAGAAGACTGTTTGATGGATGGTGTTGGGGTGGGATGCAATATTGTTTATTTGACCTCCCCTGATGAGTTTTATGTGCACCTTGACTCGGATGCTGAGAAATTGGAGCACATTGCACAGGAACTGCTCCAAGCGGATGGTTTTGACACCTCTCAAGATTGGTGCGAAGGAGATACATGTGCCGCCTTATTTGATGAAGATGGAGTTTGGTATAGAGCTATGGTTGTTAGTGCGACACCACCATCTTATAAAGTGCGCTTTGTTGACTATGGAAATGAGTCTGAATCTCATGCTTTAAGGAAGCTCCCTGAGAAATTGCTGGAGCTACCACCACTAGCCTACCACTGTGCTCTGCCCAAACCAAAAGATATCTCCTGGTCATGTGATACTGCCAAATCAAAATTGGAGACTTTGGTTGATAGCTGTGATTGCAAGTTTACCATTGAGCTCCTCACCAAAGAAGAGCCATACTTGGTTTCATTATATGGAAATGGAGTCAATTTGAATTTAGACATTGCTGTGTGCTGTGGGTATGATCCTGAAATAATTCGTGCTCACTTGTCTACTCTACAAGTGTCCAGAGGGTAATCACGTTTATTTTATATTATGAATTTATGTGTTTTTATATATGACTGGGTCAATAATTCATCAATAAATTTTGTTTGTCTACTGAGACATCTGACAATTGTATTTGGATTTGAAATCACTTTCCAAACCCCAAATTCTTTTACACGTTTCTGCACAAAGTTGAGACCAATTAACTGCTTCAGAATAATTGCAAATCTATTATTGGACCTGGTCATTAATATAACACAACTTTCAATCCAAACCAGGCCTATTCTAATACTCAATATTTTGTGATTTCAGCAAAACAATTAAACTGACAACTCATCTCGATGACATTGAAACCCAGGTTGATGAACATCAAGATTTGGACTTGAATGTGACCCCTCATCTTCATCCTAATGGAAGTGTAGTAAATGAATGCGTAGACTCGCAAGGAAAAGGGGAGCAGTCAGCTGCAGCTGATGTGGCACAGATAGTTGAGATTGGAATACCTGATGTAGTTCTTCTAAGGAGCCATTGTGATAATGAAGTCAAATCTGGAGAGTCATTGATGGCCTGTGAGTCCGGCAATGGATTAGGGTCAGTAAGTGATGCCTTCACTGAAGAAGCTGAAACACTGGAAAACCTGTCTGCTAACGATAAAATTATTGGAAATGCTGAAGAACTTGCACCTAGTGACTCAGCTGTCTCGTTAATTTTAAACTTGAGTGAGCACTTGGCAGAATCTGTTGAAATTGGATCGGAGGAATATCCGCCAAGAGACATTCGGGATGAGGAAGTGAAATTTGAAGAATCATTGACAGTGTGTGAGGTTGATGATGGGACAGGGGCCTTAAGTGGAGCCTACATCAAAGAAGCTGAAACACTTGACAAGCTGTCTATTAACAACGAATGTGCATCAAGTATACTTGTTGAATCATTAATGTCGGACTTCAGTGAGCGTTTAGAAGCATCTAAGGAGGCAGATGCAACTGAGTTCGGATTGGCTGAAGAGTGTCCGCAAAGTGACACTTGTGATAATGAGGCCAAATCTGAGGAGTTCTGTGAGGTTTTTGGTGTGATGAGGGCATCTAGTGAATCCTGCTCTGATCACGCTGGAACACTAGACAAGCTGCCTACAATCGATGAAGTTGTTGAAAAATCTGAACCTGCACCATCACTCTCAATATTGAGTGAGCATGTTGCAGTTTCTGAAGAGGCAGAGGCAGTTGAGATGAGATCATCTGAGGAATGTGTATCAAGGAACTTGAGTGGTAATGGAGCTGACAATCATTTTGTTAACGATGTAATCGATAAATCGGACTTATGTTTATTAGGAGACTCTGATGAAGTTAAGTCAGATGTGTCATCAACAGTAAATAATAGTGAAGAGCCATGCATTTCTGATGAAGTTGAAATTCTTTTTGAGGCTCTGAAAGTGTCATCCTTGGATGACTCCGTGGTGGAGATAACGGAGACTCAGATTCCTGTCATAACTATTGATGATTCTGATGTTGATGACAATAACTGTCTGCCCACCAATACCCCTGATGAGATGCCAGACTTGATCAATTCTGTGAACTCTTTGTCAGTTAGTAATTCTGGTGATCTGCAGTGTGATATTGAAGAAGACACGAGTACACCTTGTTTTGTTGCATCATTACATACTTACCCAAACGCTCACAATTGTGAGTTAGACATTGATGGTGTACACCATGGATTTTCCAAGGCAAGCCCCTCTGACTTCAACTTATTAGAAATGGCTGCAGGGGCAAAGTTTTATATCTTTGATGACTGTCAAGAACACAACAATCTAGTTGTGACTGTGAAATCATCTTAATTATTCTCATTTCTTACACATCTTTTTTTCCTCTGACTATTTCCTTATGTGTTATTTGAGTGTTTTAATGATATTGATAGCAATTCTTTTATCTTCAGTTTATTATTAGATAAAATTTGTAGGACTGAAGTTTTGTAAGTAAGAGCAGTCAATGAGAACAAATTGTATGTATATTTTGGTTGTTTTAGGTATGTTGCTCAAATAAAGAAAACTATGTAAATAAATAAAAGTATATTGTTCTTAAAAAAATTTGCATACATCTTGTAACAGAAATAAAAGTGAAGGTCATAGTCTCATAACATCTTTCTGAAGAAATGCTTGGGTGGAAATTTATGTACTTTGTAATGAACAGAATAGGGATTTTGAGAAACTTGTTGACCTAAAGGAATAACACCCCTGAAGAAATATTTTATTTTCCTTTGAATAGAATTTGAATCTAATCCATCAATGAGATGTTATTATTGGCTTCTGCCAGTGCTCAGAAAACTTATCCTTGACATGTGCGAATGGAAACTGAAGCTCATTTTATATGGCTTATTAAATGCAGAGTCTTAAGTGGACATCAAATTACATACTGTTACCAAATTTTCACAAATTGAACTGTTTTGGACGAATGTTCAAAAACGGATGAACTGCTTGTACAAAGTGTCTCTCTTATCTCACATACTAGAGTTAATAATGAGTTAAGTGAAGAAAAGGAAGATTAGTTGATGGTGACTTCAATTTCACAAATAATTTTGAGAAGTTTAAATTCATAAATCCATCAGATATAAATGATGAAATTAAGAGAAACAGGGGCTTTCCGTAAAGCAAACTTTGGGGATAGCACTACATGCCTGACTCCTGCCCCTACAAGACTACCTCCTTTCAGAGCCACTGCCAAATCGTTGCAAAAGTTTGAATATTCCTCACTGGCTGGCCTAACTGTAATTATTTTTACAAATATCTCCCTTAGAGCAGTCTGTCTTACCCTTCCTCAGTAGATGCTGCCCTCAGATGAATGTCACAATACCTACACTTCCATTTGAAGACTAAAAAGAAAGAAACCTGGTTGAACTTAAGAAATTCCAAAGACATGTTAAAATAGACTATATTTCCAAATTTGTCATAGAACTGAGGGACAAAAATCAGTCTTCAACAGACATTGTGGAGGTAGGTCAGCAATAAGGCATATTAGAAGTGGTTATCATGTGGATCCTTGCATTATTTGAATTCCAATAATGCGTTCATGCCCTGATGACCTACCTCCAAGTCATTATCTTCTATGTTCATAATTAGTACATGTGACAAAATGAAGACAAAAAAAAACTAACACCAACAAGATGAAAATAATTTAGACAAAATGTATTTGTCTGCAAGATATACAGAAGCTATCATACAAAGAGAGCAATTAGAACCATAGTTGTAGGTCTAGCTTAAAACAAAAAGCTGGTGCAGTCATCTCTCTCCTTGATAATTAAAGGAAGAAATACAAAGTGACAATTGTTAATCCTTCTTGCCAACAAACACCTTTTGAGGGCTTTTTTTCTGCAAAAAGAAATCAATGAAATATGTAATATAAGCCCAATTATCTAAATAAGGATGTTGTCTATGAGCAAAACGATTGTTCTATTCGAATTAGTTCACCTTCACTCATGGTCTTTTTCAAAGCAAAGCAAGTAGTTTGAGAACAACTAAATAAGGTGTACGAATTGATTGAGGGATCAAATTAAAAGTATCTTTAAAACAAATCAGAGTACTCAAGCCAAACACATAAAAAGGAAGCTCACTGCACACAATTGGGGGCACTACCAGTACAACAAACTTTTACATTTTCTGCTCATTGAAGTTTCATCACATGAAATAATTCATTTATTACATTTAATGTTCTGATTTAAGAGGTTTAGTTTCCTTACAAGTCTTACATAAGTACTGTCATATCACAATAACTGCATCAATGACTTCAACAATGACTCCAAACCATGATACCACTTTTAACTGCAAAATCTTGATAAAACATGATTGACTGCTGACAAACACATTAACAAATATAAAGGTAAATTCATAAGACACCCAACAGTAGAGTGAAACTTGACTCAAACAAGTAAATATGTAAATTTATATAAAACAACAACAGTGTCATGACTTCAAGAATCACAATACATTCTTAAAGCAAAAATCCCAAAATAGCTATTTACAAAAGACACGCGCACACACACACACACACGCACACATTCTCTCTTTCTCTCTGGTTTTTCCCTTCACTGATGTCGCACAGCACAAATTGACAACACAGTACGCGATTCTGTGAGTCGACATACAGGTACCAGAGTTGTCACTACGTTCGGAAATTCCTCTAATGCCTTTCGAACTTCTGTAGGTGGTGGAGCTTTGCTTCCAGAGACATGGAGAACTCTAACAGCACAAGTTGTACCTGGATCAACGCCTTTATGTAATTTGCTCAAGGTGTAACGGAATACCTCTCCAAGTTCAGGTGCACTTATTACTGGCAAAGATGCACAATGTCCAGACTCAGTTTCTTCAGTCTCTACAGTGTTGGCATTAATTGTAGTACTTTGGCTGCAATTGGATGAACCTGAAGCAAGAGCATAACTTAAATCTAGAATCCTTCTAAATTAATTTCAGGCTTTTAAGCAAAAATCTTGTAAAAATCTAAATTTTTAGAATTGAGTTGGAAGAAATCCTAAGTTGCAGTAAATCTCAAAGGATTTAATTGACTCACCTGTTGACACATAGCAGACCACAACAGATACAGTGTTTTCATAGTTCCATCGCCTTCGTAGGGACACTCTGTGTACTCCAATGCAACAACCTGTTTCTTCATCTGAAAGAAGACACAAAAACACATTTTATCAATTAGTATCTATTTTTTTAAATACCCAGTACAGAACACTGTGCAAGCATAATTATAACTCTGATTAAATATTTTCAAAAAGCTCAGGAAGACAAAAAAAAACCTGAACAAAAACAAAAAGAAACATTGTTGGAAGAACTTACATTCAAATCTACTGTTTCCAATGTGTGCCCAAACTTGCCATTCAAGCAATGCACCCCGTGGCAGTTGTGGCACAACCACATAGTCTACAATTGCATTATTGGTCCTTTTTTCCCATTCTCGGCGGGCCTCAGGAATGTAGGAGGGGTGAGTAACATAGCAAACTCCCTATAAAAACAGAGGGGAAGGGGAGGGAGGTTTTTGTTATAAATTGTAACCACTTTTTTAAAAAAAAGAACACGAGGTACACATAAGACCAATATAATATTCATTCAATATTGACCTGCACTACGTCTCTGAGCTGGGTATTGGGGTCCATAGCCCGAACAATACGGGCCACATGGCGAAGAGCCAGACGGCATTGTTTGCGCACTCCACCTTCTACCATCTGCATAGTGCCAGGCACAAGTGCAATTTGGCCAGCAACATAGACCAAGTCTCCAACCTGTAAATTACAATAATTAAAAAGGAAGAGAATTTACAAGAGGGGTCAAATGAGTACAGAATAAGAAACATACCCTCACTGCTTGGCTATAGGGTCCAATATTGGCAGGTGCCCAGTGAGAAACCCCTTGCACATGCATGGTATGGACTCTATTTACACGCATTTCTTCTGAGGAAGAATCTTGTGAACTATCAATAGATTGCGGCCTATAAAAGAAACATTTTAAGGAATAATGCAACCCTTCAAAGGCATTAAATAAAACATTGCTTTGAGGAAGTACATACTTGAAAGCAACAGCTTCCATCACAATTGGACATTGCTGAGCAAGTGGTGCTTGAACACAGACCCTGATTGGTGGATTAATGAAGTTAAAAACCTTCTTGTACTGTAGGTTTATCACAGCATAATTTTCCATGTCACGAATATATAGAGAAACAGCAACAACATTGTGCAAAGATAATGACTCACTAGCCAATAATTCTGAAATGTAAATTCAAAAAATAAAATCATGACATTTTGCTTGAAGAATCACGCAGAAAATGTTAGAAGCCATACCCTTTAACTTAACAAGTGCCTGATACGTTGCTTCCCCTTGTGCTTCATCTCCTTGGCCAACAATACTACCAAGCCAATACCATCCAGCATCATTGCAACGTGCTGCAGCTTTGTCAGTTGCTACAACTATCTCAGTTAAATCAGTCAGCAGAGAGTGCTCAAGAGTGGGGGTAACAGCACTTGAATGACCTGGTGTTGTGTTAGCATGAGCGTCACCCGAAGCTTTGTTGTTTACCATCTGCTGACAAATAATAAAATTCTTTACTCCAATCACTTACAATCAAATTATACAAGCAATTCCTAACAGTGGAAATATGAGCTCACCTCATGGGCACAATGGCCAACCTCAGTTCGAAGTAAAGCAGCAGCAGCTTCACAAGAGTCTGTTGTGGAGTTCTCAGGCTCCTCCTCGTCCTCCTCGCCTGCACCAACACTACGGTCTGGTTCTTGAAGATCTTGAAGAAGATCAAGCCAGGTCTTGACTGGGAACTGTGCAATTCGCTCTTGTTGACTCCATTTTTCTAGTATTGGCTGAAATTGAGTCATTGTGATGTAGTTACTGCATAATCCAAACTCGTGCAGGTACAAAAATTGAGAACTTACATCTTTGTTTTCCAAATGAAACTGCTTGAAGTTTAAGTAACCAACAGCAGCAACACTGTTTTCTGAAGGAAGCACCATTTCAAATTCATCACTGAATAAAACAAAGGGGTCAATTCACAAAACATGGTTAGCAATGTTTGACAGACAGGGAATGAAAACACTTACATTACAATCGATTTAGTAAATAAAGGGCAGTCGAGAGTGAAAGTCTCATATTCACCACCTTCGCCACAAATATTCAATCCATATTTCTCTTTCTGAAATAACCAACAAAGTCAAGGGTTTAACAACTGAAGCACTGTTGACATACCAACTCATAATGAAATGCGAAAAGCTGACCATTTTGACAAGGTGAGGTTTCATATCCTCAATTTTCATGCCTAAATGTTTGGCTGGTTCCAATCCCATAGCTGCTACCTTGATAATAATGGCATTAATATGGCAGTCAATCATTTCCTGGAGAAGTTCTCCTTGATCTCTTCTCCATAAATAGGCAAGTGAAACAAGTCCTAGGCGGACACACCTGAAAACAGTTGTCAATTTAATTGTTAACTTGACATTGCTGCGAAGATGCCATCAAGCAAAAATAATTTGGGACACAAATTTGGCTTACACATTTTCAACCCTTATTCTTTGATAGTCAGAGAAAATAGCACCAACTGCAACAGCCTCTATGTCAACTTCATTCTGTAAAGTACCACAACATATGTAAAAATGTATGTGAATTCAAACAAGACCTTCAAACATTTAGCACAATTCTACCTTCACTTTAACAAGTAATTTGTAAAGGTCTTCTACTTCATCCTCAGGAGTTGGACAGTAATCTCGATCTTGGATGATTGCACGCCCTTCAGTGGCTTGGCGGAAGAGCGGTAGGCCCATAGCTTCTGCATAAAGTTCAACTCCCATGTGACCTACAGTCTGATACATATAGCTATCCAGCTCATCTGAAATTCAAACAATGATGATATGAGGTGAAACAAATATGCTTTAACTGATTTACAATTTTCAAAACAATGGGATTAAAACCTTTAGATGTTGGATTCAAATTGGCAAGGGCTACAATGTCATGTCCAGCTGCTACACACTGCACCATGTTGTAACAGCTATCCTTGCCCCCACTAACTAAAGCTACCACCCGCATTTTGATGTTGAGCCAGTCTCTTGTGGACGGAAGAACAGAAGGCGGCTTAACTGTACTGCCGCCTTTACCTCACAATTTGTTTTATTCTCCACATTATCAAACCTGAAAATAAGAGACATATTTAGAACAAACCGCAGGAAAATTGTTCAAATAATGAAAAAAGACAAACACAAAATAAATTATTTACAAGGAGAGAAAATAACTGAAAAATTTGATTTAACTCTAAATAAATGCCATTTTACATTGACTACAAAATATCTTATAGCTGCATACAACTTGAGTATGAGGCAGATAGTGACTTAAATACAACATCATGAACTGGCTGCAATTTGACAAAACCAGAGTTTAAGAACAGATTTTGCTAGAATAGTTAATCAAATAGGTTATTATGGGCTATCATAACATCGGTCAAGTAAGAGCAGCACTGGAGTACAGTGACGAAGAAAAGCCACACAGGATGGAACATAGCAGACGTCATCTGCCAGTGCAATGTGACATAGTTCTGGTGGGATAATGTAGAAAATAAACAACTGGATCTTGTTTTCCTTTACATTGCCTGGCAAGGGCATGGGGTGTAATAGGAGATTTTCAAGCAAGCAAATACTGCTGATGATTGATTCCAACAAGTATTCTTATAGGTTGAAACGTGCTATTCGCTCTTTTTTGAATACCATCACCAAACTGGGGTTTATTGAAGTTCGGCATGGAGAACGAAAATGTAAATAATTTCGAACAGATTGGACGAACCTGATATCAACGCGCGAATACGGGCCTAACTTAAGCCTATGGTTTATATTTCAGCTCATACAATAAAGTATGTCAACCAGCGTAGAGAGTGCCATTATGCGGAGAAATAAAGCTAAGTCAAATTTCTTAAGCGTTTTCCTCTCTTTCATTGTATTCGGACATAAATTTGAATCAGAAAAGCACTTAGCATACAGGATCAACCCGTACCTAGAGTGGTGTGCACTCCTCGGCGTTTCGCGACAGACTGATTGCAACGCGCTCTCGTGGCGGTTTCTGTAATCTGTAGCCACGATAATTCAATCACATTCTTGCACCTTTCTCCTAATTTAAAGCGTGTAGGTCAAATTTCAAATAAAATTAATCATAATCATTTGATTAGAGAAGGGCACAATGCCCGCTGGCAGCACAGAAAATAAGTTACATTCAAGACCCCGGCCAAAGTGGTTGGGATGTTCGTAGCACCGTACATTTGAGTACGGCCAAAATCGTCAAATTTTAAAAGGCTTCTAAATGTTGTGTCTGTTAGTATAGGGCACTAAGTGCTGCTAGCTTTGAAAATGGACTTGGTCAAGTTTTTATCGCGCATGATTTTGTTTTTTTGCAGGCATTGAAAATTGCAGTGAATTTTTTTTTGCTGCGCGCTTGAGACACAGCTTTCTTGATCTTTCAGAACCACTTCCTAAATCGGGTGCGCCGCTTCTCCAAACTACGGTGCTACGAAGCTTTAATCTTAGTTTGGACTTCGGAAGCCAGGGTGTCTTATCGGCAGTACAATAACCGTTCTTTCTTTCCTGTTGAACAAAATAGACTCAAAAACTCCGTTTTCGATAGTTTGAAGTTTTAGATTGAAAATGGTTTTGGCTGAAAGGAACCCGGATAATGTTCGAAATGGAAAAAGATCTCGCGGCCCAAGTCCCAATGGTCATGCATCAGAGGGCTCCAGCATTGAAGAGGAAGCTGGTATGTATTATTCCTTTGTAAATTATGCGAGTAGGTCTGAGCGTCACTTCAATTGTCCATTTATCTTCCCCTGCAATTAACATATTGCTCAACGGATTCAAAATTACTGAATAAATGAAGCTTATAAGGTTATGATTGTTGTATCTGTCTGGGTTCAGTTACCAAATTGACTCACCATGGTTGCTTCATTAATTTTTTAACAGTATTTTCGTGTTAAATCTGGTAATTTTATATTTCACTTAAACATTTTATGAGAGTGTCTCTTGACTTGACGATTACTGTAATATTGTCATAAATGCAAGGGCTTCAATAATTAAAAATTTTTTTTTTTTTCCTTAAATTTGATTTATATTTCTATAATTTATTGTTATTACTTGTTTAAGTACTATTGAGCTATAGTAGGCCTTCAAGAAATTTGAATATGGAATGTGCCTTCACCTCGTCTTCACTGTGAGATTTATTGTCCACTGCAGATGAACGTATTAGAGTTGGACGAGATTACCAAGCTATTGTGCCAGATCTAGTTCCTATTCAAGGTGGGTTCAATGTGTGCTTTATGTTTTCTCTTCTACATGACAACTTTAACTTTGCTTTCTCTATTCCTCTAAATGTTTCTTGCACTTCTCTTTTGGATAGATCGGAAAGCAGAGTTGTCAGCTTTGCAAGATAGAGCCCTCCTTGTCTGGTCCCCCACACTAGACATACCCGATAGTAAATGTAAGTGCATTTTAAATATTTTTGTTAAATTTAACATGAAATATTTTTTTAATTTTCTACATGATTGGTATTTTTTAGTGGATGATTATATTTCTCTTACCAAAGAGAGATATGGTTATAATGGTGAGCAAGCTTTGGGCATGCTATTTTGGCACAAACATGATTTAGAACGTGCTATTCTCGACCTCTCAAACTTCACACCTTTCCCTGATGAATGGACTGTTGAGGATAAGGTTCTTTTTGAGCAAGCTTTTCAGTTCCATGGGAAAAGCTTTCACCGCATTCGACAGATGGTAATAAAGTTAACTGTTGAAAGTTTATGATCCTTATCTTGTTTACACCTCATACTATACTAATCTCAATTGTAATTTATAGCTGCCGGATAAATCAATTGCAAGTTTAGTTAAATACTATTACTCATGGAAGAAAACCCGCACTCGCATCAGTCTAATGGACCGTCAAGCTCGTAAAATGGCTTCTCACCGTGAGGATGGCAGTGAGGTTGGCTCTGAGGTTGGGTCCAACACTGATTCTGACTCTGAAGATAAGGTATGTATTCAGCCTTTACACATTTATTTACGTGTATCTATTTGAGCAGTGCTTTTTGGAAATGTTATTGTTTTTATATTGGTTTGACAAGTTTCGCAGTGGGTAATTTGTGCATTTTAACTTGGGAACTGGGTTGTAGTTAGCCTCATCTGCCTCAACACTTGTACCTCCTCTACTTGTAACTTAAGACGTAGTCATAAGTATTTATGTGTTTTTTGCATTTTCTAAGGTGTTAGTGGTTGTCAGTGAGGTAGTTCATGGTTTTTTTGTTTTTTTTTCCCTCGTTTTCTTTTGGACATGTAACTGCTGTGATTAGACAATTGACAGCATTGTCTTCGATAGAAGGTAATCAAATTTGCTATGTGTGTGTTATATGTTTATATGTTGGGTTGTTTTGCGCCCCAGAAATGGACAATCCATCGCGGCATTCGCCGTAAGAGTGGTTCACCGCCAAGAACAACCCAAACGGAAGAAGCTGGGAGCATGGTATGTTTGGTTACTGTCTGATTGCTTTCCATGTGGAGTCCTAATTTGGCAAAAGGGAATTAGGGCTTCAACTAATTAATTTTTAACATTTCTAGCTTTATGTATTTTTTATGATTGCTTCTCAGAGAGGTTTGCTTAAAATTAGCTGACAACACCATTGTAGAGCTGGTACACTTGTTCTTATGCTGCTTATGCTTTCTTACTTCCTTGATCAGACTATCTTATCCAAATTAAAGACTATCCACTGCTGTTTTCTCTCTGTAATTTGCTTGCAGTTCTTTTTATTCATATGTATATGTTCATAATTTTTTCAATGGAGATATCCTGTTTTGTGCTGAATTCGCCAATGTGTTCCTGATTTCTGAAATATGTATCCCTCTATTTCAGATTTTGCTCTATTAGAGATTCTTTTTCTAGGTTCTTGTGCCCAAGTTCAGAGTTGTGCCCCTTCTGTTTTTAAATGACAGCAAAATAATGTGAATGTTCTTCCACCCATCTAATTGAATTCCTTTGACACACACACACTAACTATTTCTTATTCCTGGACCCCAGCACTTGCATGCTGCTGCAGTAAAATTCTTGGAGCAAGCCAATCAATCTGTCTCACTGTTTTCTATAACTTAGCCATAAAGTAAGGATAGTAGAGAATGGTGAGTTCAAAGAGAGAGATGTACTTTCCATCTGCGGCAAAATACTTTGAGCCTACATGTTTAAAAAGTTCTTTTATTGGTCTGTGATAGTAATAATAATTATTATTGTGTAAATTTATTTTTTTATATTTGTAGTCTCTTTCAATACTCTCTCTTCACTTTTTGCGGCAGATATTTTTCATTGCTTTTCAGAATTATCTCAAACTTTCAATAATCTCTTATGTGCATGGTGCACTTATTTAACTTCAGCCTAAGTAAAGTAAATCTTGTCAAAATGTTAAAGGATACGCAGAATCCAGTTCTAATTTTATTTGATGCTCTTAATTTTGTTGTAGAAAAAGGACAGCGAATCTGGGGGAAAGGGATCCTGTTCTAATTGTAACGTCACCTGCTCCCAAACTCACAGTACCCCTAAAGGAGTCATGTGCGCCACATGTCACGCCCACTGGACGTAAGTTTCATACTAGTCCCTGCTCTAAAAAGGTGTGGGACGTGATTTTTAACTTCTTTGTTCTTTCTTACCCATTCAGGCGAACTGGAAGCGTCAGACCGACAATGGGTCCTGCAAAGCCCCGCGATAGACAGTTTCATGTCTTGCTTCGTCACAAACGTAAGCCACCTCGTGGCATGTTCATTAATCATGATGATCTCACGGCTATGGCTAGTGGACCTGCCGGACAGGGTGAGCAAATGCTGAGGACAATGGATAGGGAGATTGTTTCATTGAAAAGACAGGTTGGTAGACAAAGTTAGTATCAATGTGTTACATAGTTATGAAATGGTAACTGTTCAATTTTTGTGGTAGGTGCAAAATAACAAACAAGCAATAAGTGCAATGCGGGCTCGTACATCAAATGGTATTGATGATCTTCGTCCATCAGATTCTACAAATAGAATTAATGCTCGGTGGACCAATGATGAAATGCTGCTAGCTGTTCAAGGTACATTTGATAACTTTTCACCCTTCTTTGGTAATAAATATTTAAAAAAATAAAAATTTTAAAAAATGAATAAAAATTACTTTTTAGGAATGCGGAAGTATGGCAAAGATTTTCAGGCTATATCTGAAATGATTGGAACTAAAACAGAGGCCCATTTGCGGAATTTCTTCACGAATCATCGACGCCGATTCAATCTAGATGCTGTTATGAAGGAATTCGAATCTGAGAATGGGCCAATAATTGAAAGTGAAACCAAAGATGACAAGGTTAGAACTATTACTTGATTGATTTTGTTCCTTGCTCCAATGCTATGCCATATTGAAACTGTCTCCTCTTTTCCAGATGGATGTTGATGTTGTAGAGCCAAGCAGTCCAACAATGAACTCCTCTCCAGTTTCCATTCAAACAAGCATTAACAATGTCAAGACAATGCTAAAAACAGCTGTGTCTGCAACTAAATAACTAGATATTTTAATAGAATTTTTCCATTGTGCTATTCTGTGTTAGTCATTTTCCAAAATTTATGTAAATGGTTTTCTTGCTCACACTTGTTCCTTCTGCGTCTTGTGAATATTCACTCAAAGGCCATTGTGACTTCTAAGGCCTGTGTGTTGAGTGTCTGAAGTACTGCCGTCTCTGGACTTTTTAGTCTTGACTGCCTTTTCTGCTGCTTCTGCTAGTCTCTTTAACTGCTGCATAGATTGCCTTGGTTATGGAAATCATTTGGTAACCTTTATTCATAAATGATATTGGCTGCCCCACTGAACTGTCTCATATGTGTATGTCCAAATAATGTAGTAAAGATGTCTTTTTAAATTCCTCTGATAAAAATAAAAGCTATTCATGACCCTAGTTTTTTTTCTTCTTTGCTATGATTTCAAATATGTTCAAATATAGATGCTGAATTTCTTGTAATCTAAATTATTTTATAAGACTATTCTTAAAAGTATTGTGTAAATTATACTTAATTGCCTTGTTAGGAGTGAATGTGATTCAAAAGTGATAAGTGAGGTGTCAAATGTGTGTGTTTTACTAGCATATACTACTGGTGCTGCATTTTGAGTTACTGTCGTGTTGGATCGAAACAAAAACAAAGTTTGTGCAATAATTGACGGATTCAAAGCAGAGCACTGAGTTTTAGGTTCCCGGCCGGTCGCCCCTATTGCCTTGGGTTGGAGAGCCCAAAACTCAGTGCTCTGCTTTGATGGAATTGCTCAAATGGGGCAGGGCATTATTTTTATTTTTTAAAAGGAGTAAGGCCTCAAAATCTCTGAAAATATTATTTTAGGTTTGGTGGTAAATGTCTCCTGTAGTTCCTCAGTTGAGTGTTTTTGAAATAGGGCAAAAAGTCTGTCAAGCTGTTCTGTTTACTTTTATGACATTGCTGAAGTGTTTTGATTCAAATTGTTTGATTTATGATTGAAACTTATTCAAGTTATGTGTGACATTCAATAGTTTTCACAGGAACAATTTTTTTTTCTTCCGGGATGGAATAAGAGTGTTTTTTACTGATATGCTTTGGCTTGGTTTTGACTTTTTTCTGCAGTCCCTGATAATAATTTTTGATCATGTACAGTCTTGGTAATGATATTTCTTGAGTATGTGTTTATATAAAATCCCATCACATCGAACCTCCTATCAACGAAATCCTCATTACAATGTAAGGTTTTCATGTTCCAGGGCAATGTATTGTGTCCTGCTTATGACGTAAGGACCATTAAGGCCTGGAGGGGTTCGCTCCAACAATGTTGTACTTGTCTATTAATGAACTCCTTTACCCTCATCATATCCAATTAGAACTTAGTATCAAGAATCACTCAGAATCTTTAAAAAAGTGGTTTGATGTACTCGTCATGCTCACTAATTGAAAATGTTATCATTATTTAATCTTTCATGATGGCACAGTACTTGAGTCCAATGTGAATTATAAAGATTTTATGAATTGCTGTTTTTGTTGAGAAGTATGATTGGGCAGGCGAATAATTAGGATTGTCAGTGAAGCAATTGCATGCAATAAAGAGAAAAGCAGATGGAATTGGGTTGCATAATTTTCTGATTGCAAAGGTTACTGATTTTGGATGCTACTGCCAAATGCTAAGTTGTCTGTACTTAATAAATCCCTCAGAGAGATGAGTGTATTTTTATTGCCTCTTGGGGGATTATCAACTGTAAGAAACTGTAAGTTAGTGTTTATAATTTGTACATGTCTAGTGGAATTTCTATTTTATTTTATTACATCCTAAACCTATTGTTGATCTGTCTCTTGAATAAAGACAGAGTTTATCTTACAAGATGCGCTATTTTTTTATGCAATAATCTGCATTATTTGAGTAGCGGCTTCTCCCCTACCCCTTTGTGAGACCCAAAATACATAGATCAATTTATTCACTGGGGCTTGTTTATTATAGATGTCTCATACTTTTTTGCTTTTGTAGGTATTGGAATTATTTTGGGGGGTCACTCTGTCACAACCTGTTTCAATGTTCTAGGTTGATAAATATTGTGTATGTTGGTCTGTAGTTCCTACTTAGGATATGGCAGAAAGCTTTGTGATGTCTGTTTATTGTCTTGCAAGGTTTTATCTTTTAATTGTTTCTAACTTTTGAGTCAGTCCCTTGTTATTCATGCAAAGTGGGCTTGATAGCTTACTCTGTAATAGGGGTACTTTTAAAATTTGCATTCATGGTAAACCTGTACCAACAAGCATGTTTCATTCAACATATCTCTTACCATTCAAGCCCTATTTGTGTAAAGGTGAACTCAAAATTTCAATCTTAGTCAACCTTGTGTATTTTCAAATTTAGTGTAATCAATTTTAAGAAGCACTTATCAGCCAATTCTTGTAGATAAATATTAGATTTAATAGTGCTAGTTTAGTTCTGTGCCTCTTTCATTATTGTTAATAATGGTTTATCCTCATTTTCTAATCTATTTATCTGTAAATAATGATGCACTTTCTGAAGTGAACTGTTCTATTTAATTGCCCCCTTCACAGACTCACTCACATTCTAATTGCTTTTGAAAATGAAACCGTCCTCCGAAACAGTTGAGAATTAGCTGAGCGTGAGGAAGTTGACATTCAAAACCAAAACCCTGTTGGGTGAAAGCCTGTTGGAACCCGAAGTGCAGGACGACTGCCCCACCAAAGCGCCGTCGGTTTGAGTCTCACACGATTTACGGAAATGGGTGGAGTTTTCTCTGGTACGCACATCAGGTGTAAAACCCTGCGGCCCTGTTTGCCGGTGCGATCGAGGGCAGGAATGCATGTCAACACTCGCGGGAGGCCTCCGAGTGGTCGTCGGGAACTTCCCTGGGTTGTTTTTTTTTCCCCTTTTTTTTGCAGTGCTTTGCTGGCGAGTTTTCCAAGGCCGGGGAGGTCCCGGGGCAAGGCAGGTCGGCAGGGCTGGGGCACAGCCGTGCCACCAAAGATGAAAAATGAGCTAAAATCGCGCCGTGGCCGAGGCCCGGGGGCGGGTCGGGGGCCGGCAGGCGGAAGGGGCGAGAGGGAAGGGGGTCGATGGAATCAATGACAGTGAATCGCGGAAGGCCCTGGCCGCCCTGGCGAGGCGAGGCCGGGCTACGGCGCTACGGCCAGCGAGTCGGGGTGCGGCAGCGCGGCAGCCGAGTTAGAACAGCACAGCGCGCTCGGTTGGCCCGCCTGGCTCTGTGGGAGCCGAGCCAACAGCCAACCGAGCCCAGGGCGGCGTGGGTGTGAGTTGGGGAGGGGGCGGGCGGCGTCGCTCGGCGCTCCACCAGCACCAGCTCGCCACCAGCTATCTGACCAGCCAGATCTGGGCTCGCGTCGCTACGCGTCGCTACGCGGCGCGAGGGGTGCCGGGCAGTGCCTGCAGCGCCAGGGTGGCTAGGCCCCTTTGGCCTCCCAGCGAGCCGGAGGGTGACCCCTCGGGGTCGCAGGCCCCAGGGGAGCAGTCACTAACTAACCGCCGAGGAGTCATGTCCGCCTTTCCATCAATGAAAAGCCAACAGCGTAGGGCGCACAAAGGGCGACACACAGGCAGGCTGTGGACGGCCAAACAAATCTCGCAAAATTATTGAACTCATAGTCGCGAGAAAAATTTGACACTCGCTGACTCGCCGCTGGGCACTCATCCTAGAGAGAGAGTTCCAGACGCGAGCACCGCTGGTCGCAGATTTTGGTCGGGCGTGTGGGCCGGGCTGCAAGTTGTCCTGCTATTCCGCTCTCCCCTCTCTGCGACTCTCCAGCGGGCTGAATCCGGAAGTCGGCAAGCTTGCCAAAGTTTCGGGCGGAGGTTAAAATGAAGCAGACAGATGAAGAGTTGGCGCTGTCGCGCTGCCCGTCCACCCCTCCCCACTCTCTCTCTCTCTTTCCTCTCTCGTCTCTGTCGCGGCCACTCCACCCACCCCAATATTTTACGCTTTGCGCCCCCACCCCGGCAGGATTGGCGCGACAGCGCCAAGAATGGGAAAGAGAGACAGAGAGAGGGGGAGGGGGCAAGACGCAGGGCGAGGACGAGCATCTCTGCTGGAGCATCGCAAAACACAAATGGCCCCCTTATCGTGTCGAGGAGGGCCGCTTAATTCAGGCTGGAGTGGCTCTCCGCTCCGGCACGCCTAGGCACGCCGCGTGCACGCGGGGACAGCGGGGACAGGGAAGGAGAGGACGACGACGCCGGGCCGCGCGGGCCGCGCCTCCGCGCCACTCGACAAGACGCCTGTCGAGCGAAGCGTAGGCAACCCGGCGCGCTCGGCTGCGTGACAGGTCGGCCCACCCCGCAGGCTGTACACGCTACACGCCGCCACACGCTACACGCCACGCGGGGATGTACTGTACTGCACGAGGACCAGAACGAGGAGTACACGACGCGCTTGGCTCGCGCTCGCGGCGTGGTTGGCTTGGCGGCAACACTGCCTCGGCTTTCGGCGCGAGCGGAGGATGGAGGACGGCGTCGCTCTCTCGCACCCCTGTGGTACGCCCCTTGAGAGAGACGGCAAGGACTGTGCCGAATGGCAAGGGGAACAAGGCAACAACTCATGACAAAGGGTCTCTAAAAAGAAGGATCTCCCTGTATTGAAGCAGGAAAATGTTCCGTTTGCAGAGAAGGTCCGTGTGGGCCTTGTTTTTTGGCCTTCCTCCCCGACTCGATGGGCTGCTAAAGTGTGTTTGCCCTGTACATGAAGAGGGGGTGTAAGGGCGCGTGTGTGCGTGTGTGTGTGGCCGCTGTGCCGGCCGGCTCGCATGACAACCAACAATTGTGTAAGAAGAGTGCTGTTTGTGCTCCACTGCGGCGCCACATGGGACGTAGGGACGTGCCAAGTGGTGGCGGGAGAGAGGGGGGGGGGGCAGCGGGTAAGGAACTGGCCGCGGATGCTGCTGCTGCTGCTCAAGCCCAGGTTCGCCGTCAACGCGTACGCGCATGGCCGGCACCAGGCTGGACAAGGCTGGCAAGCGGCGACTTGACTGCCGCCGTTTCGGAATCCGAAGTTCGGCGCCACTTCCGTCGCCGCTGCGGTGCGGCTGTGGCATTCATTGCGGTCAAGAGTCGCGCCTGGAGTGACGGCGAGGCGATGACGTCCACGTCCAGGGTGCGGTGCTGGGTCCGGTCTTTTGGCCGCCCCACGCGCCCCGAAGTGCGCGAGGTTCGCGGCCCGGCGCGGCGAGCGCGGCGAGCACGGCGTGCTGGAGAGGTGAAAGGTGTGTGAAGGGAAGCACAAGGGAAGCGCACGGGGTGGGGGTGGGGGTGATTCACAAGGGGGTGGGGCGTGCCGGGCCATGACGAGCCCGGAGAGGGGGAGGGGAGGGGAGGGGAGGGGGAGCCCGCTGGGCAGCTCGCGGATCGTCGGTGCGGCGCGGCGGCGCGGCGGCGCTGCGGCGCGGTGGGGCCTAGAGTGGGACTGGGACCTTGCCTCAGTGTGGCGGTAGCCCCCGATCGTGACGTCACGCGGCCAGAGTTCGCTGAGTCGCTGCCGTGCCGTGTCGAGCCGAGTCGCCCCGCGTGGGGAACCAGGGGAACCTCTGGTGCCCAGGACTACCGGACCGACGTGCAGCCTCCCAGGTACCCGGGGGAGGGGGTGGGAGGGGGGATGGTGAAGGGGAGGGGGCGTGTTCCGGTTTCGGTTCGGTGAACACGATGGAGTTGGTCCAGCCCGACGGCGTGCCACCGAGCACCAAGGCCTTGACGGCAAGCACGGCAAGCACGCCACGGACAACACGCGCGCCCCGAACACCCAACACGAAACAGGAACGGCGCCCGCAGCGCGCGCAGGCGGGCATGCGGGGCTGTCTGCCACTGTCTGCGCGCTCGGCGCCGCGCCAGCCGAACGACTCCAAAGAGTCGTACGCGTCGTCGCTCTGAGTCTCTCTCTCACCCTGCTGGACGCCGCACTAGTGCGACAGGGGCAGAGAGCGCAACGGAAAGACTTCGGAATCACTCGGCTGTGCTGCGAGGCGGGTTGGCGGCAGCCTTCGGGCAGCCTTCGGGCAGCCTTCGGGCAGCCTTCGGGCAGCCTTCGGGCAGCCTTCGGGCAGCCTTCGGGCAGCCTTCGGGCAGCCTTCGGGCAGCCTTCGGGCAGCCTTCGGGCAGCCTTCGGGCAGCCTTCGGGCAGCCTCGGCAGCCTTCGGGCAGCCTTCGGGCAGCCTTCGGGCAGCCTTCGGGCAGCCTTCGGGCAGCCTTCGGGCAGCCTTCGGGCAGCCTTCGGGCAGCCTTCGGGCAGCCTTCGGGCAGCCTTCGGGCAGCCTTCGGGCAGCCTTCGGGACAGCTCGGACGCGTCGCTGGCCGCGGCCTCCCCAAACTGCAAGCTGGCAGTGCGGGCAGTGCTGGCGGTCGCCACACGAGACACAGGCCTCGGCCACCACAGTCGCGCAACTCTAGGATTCGGCAAAGGCGTGCATTCTCGCTCCGGTGTCACCCTGCTAAACTCACACCAACAATAACTGTATTTTATTCTGAGCCAGCGGTTGTCTCAATGAAGAGGGTGGCGGTTGGCGCGGTTTCGCCGTGGAACGGACGCATGAAGGGCCAGCCCCTTTTGCAAAATGTATTTTGCGGCCCGACGCTGCAACGACCTCTGACAGTTGTGGCCCGTTCCTCGCCTTCCTGGCAGTCGTGGACTCTCCGCCCTCTCGCCCCCAGAACGGAGACTTACCTAGGCCGTCTTGTCTTCCCATGCATTTGAGATGAGAGATCGTGATCCCTGACGCGCCGCTCCTTCACTCAAGTCAAGTCGGTCTCATGTCTTATGGACAGCCCTTCTGGGGCAATGAGTGCGAACGGGACGGGCACACTGGCAGGTCGATTCGAACAGTGGCGTCGTCGCCCTCGTCGCTCTGTGCGAGAGAGACAGAGCGGCCATGCCCGGCCCGCTCGGCAGCCCGTGTCAAGCACGACACGCACCCCACCGCACGCCCCGCAGCAGGCATGTCGTCGTCGTCGTCACAAGCCACGCATCACGCGCGTGCGTTCCGTGCCGTGGCGTGCCATGCCGCGCGTTGATTCACCTCCAATTTGGCCGTCACCGCGTCGCGCCGCGTCGCTACTCCCACGCACGACATCATTGCTCACTTTATTCCACGCCCCCTTTTTCCCGCCTCCACCCGCGCGGCGCGCGCCAATAACAGGTAGAGCGTCCGGGGTGGCGGCCTGCGGCCTTGCAGGCCCCATTCCGAGAGCCCTCTCCGTCGCGCTGTCTCTCTCGCACCCATGGAACGCCCCATGGCAGCGACGAAAACGACTCTCGGAACCAGTCCGCAGGCTTTGCTGGCGGATCGACCTTGAGACTCCGTCGCCTCCGTCTTCTGCTTTTATCGCGAGGCTGCCGCCGAGCGATTCCGAAGAAGGCGTCCCGTCGTCCTGCCTCTCTCGCACCCCTACGGCCGCCTACGGCCCTACGGGGCGCCCCGTGAGTGCGACAGGGAGGGAGCCATGTCTCGGAGTCGGTCTGCCCGGGGCTGCCTGGGGCTGCCTGGGGCTGCCACGCTGGCGG